ATCACCATATTTGTACTTAATGGCTTAGTAATTGGATTTTTCTTTGGATGTCTATACTACTGGTTAAATTATAGTAAGTAGTATTTAACTTAAACTATAATTTTATTTTTGTATTGTGTGATAGCGGTATAATCTTTATGTATAAAAATTACGTGTCACGTTGTTTGTCCGCGATGAACTCCTAAACTACTGAACTGATTTCAATGAAATTTTGCACACTCTGTGCAGTTTGGTCCAACTTGAGAGATAGTATAGTTTTTATCCTGATACGTGACGCTGAATATTTTTTTTTATTACGAATTTAAGGATTTTTTATATGAAGGGTCATCAAAAAGGGCAGAACAACGTCCGCCTGGTCAGCTAGTATAAGACATAATATATGATCATACCGTGGGTGACGTAAGAGTGGGAAACAGAAGATAGGTACCAGCATGTTCCTGATAACTAAACATAACAAAAAAGCTGCGGTTCAATCGTGGCAACTATGGCAAATAGACTTGTAAAAAAAACATTTTACGAAATGGGTGATGGATCTCATTCGGCGCCAAAAATTGAGCCGTTAGGTAATATAATTAAAATTTAAAAAATAAACTTAGTTAAAAGATATAGTTATAGAACATAAGTCTGCGGGTGTGTGTGTGCTGCTCTGGAGAAGATTGATAGAGTTCACGAATTCACAGAAGTTTGAAATTGAAGTATTTTAATTTCAAACTTTAAGCTAAATCCTTCTAAGATTTGATGTTCAGCTATGGACTTTGAATAGACTGATGATGTTTGTCATCTAGCAAAACTTATATTCTTAGTAACGAAGCGTCAGTAGCAGAAAGGTCGTGTGTTCGAATCCGCCATTCGACTACTGTCATGAACCACTTCTAACACAAGCGTTTTAAGCTTACCAGAAGTGGTTAAAGGGATTATTAGTAATGTTTAATAGCATTACTAGTATTTTTTTAATGAAAAAAATAAATGTATCTCGGTAATGACTTTACGTTATAAAATACTCATAGAAATAGAACGCAGTTAGAGGTAAATACAAGATAACACCAAAATAGATGAGGCAAGCAAACGAATTCATTAAAAGTGTAGCAATTTCATAACACCGCTGCTGCGTCTCTTAGTGATAGTGTACTCGTAACTTCTGAACGACTTTACCGATGAGATCATATTTACTCAATATATTTGTTTCGTCGAGACAATGGTTCATAGTTATACTGTTCAATATGACTAACATTCAAAATATGTTAGTAGCAAAATATGCGGTAGTGCTAAAAAGAAAATCACAAAATTTGGTTCCGGTACGTAGCGCTGTGGTCGAGTTAACGCTTTATTGCCGAGGCAGATAATTTATTCTTAGAATATAAATAAGCAAGTTACTTATAATTAATGCTCTAAGGTGTCGAAGGTTTCTTCTCTACATAATTTAAAACAAAGTCGCCTCTCGCCGTCTGTACGCTTAGATCTTTTAAACTACGTAACGAATTTTCATGCAATTTCCATCAATTGACAGAATGATTTAAGAAAAAAGTTTATTTGTATAATAAATGTATTTTATATATTATTTAATTCTCCTGTCCGTGTATATGTGATTGAACTCCTCGTAAACGGCCGGACCGATTTTGATGAAATTTTGTGTGTGAATCACACAGTGTGATTAAGTTCATTAGAGAATGATTTAGATTGACAATTGGAACCGGTAGGTGGCGTTGTTATATAAATCCAGAAATCAATCGTGCGAAGCCGGGCGGTTCGCTAGTATTATAATATTTCATAAAGGATTTGGAAACAAAAATTGTTTAAAATACACGCAAACTACGTCAACTTTAATTTGTACCACTTAAAATTGTTATCGGATGTTGTTGATGATTAATTTTATATAACTTTTATTGTTTCTAGGTAACGAGCCTTTGGAGCTGTGCAATGGGTTCGGTAGCTTGATTGCCTTATTGAGTATAATATACTTTTTCGTGATATACTTCCAAGTGGTGAAGAGGTACTTCGGCAAGTGGTTCGAGAGCAACGTATGGACGAGAGTGGAGGATTTAGCTGAAAACCTTTGGAAATTTGTGTAAGAAGCACCCAAAATGAAATGAAATATTTATATTTTAATTGCAATGTAGTAATATAAAATACTCCAGGGTCCAGTGCGTGTTGCCGATTTTCACGTTTTCCAAATATTTTAATTACTCATAATTTTATTTTTAACATGGTAGAGCTATGCTGCTGCTATATTAATTGTATAGTTGTAGCACATATGGGTCGGAACTAAATAATATGTCGGGGAAGGACCACTTTCACAGAATACCAGCAACGTAATGCTGCTGTATTTCTTATGGTAAGTGTAGACGACCGGAGACCCTTATTACTGGAAAAGAGGAATTCTAACTTAGCCCTCACGGCTGACAACGCATCTGCATTTTGATTCGTAATCAAGGATAGATGTAGATGTCTATGGGCCACAGCAGGTGGACTGTGTGCTCGCTTGTCACCCTTATCATATAAAAATATAGGAATGCTTACTCATAATATCTTCCTTCACCGCCGAGCACGTGGTAAAAAAATACATAATAATGTAATTAATATTTTCATTGGTGCCGGTGCGGAACGAAGCCAGATTGCTCTGTGCTGTCAAATTTACGAGTGCTTAGCGCTTGATCAACCATATACACTATAATTATGTAAAACGCTTTCATGATCCAGGAGAAATTCCTACAATTCCTAAAAACGTTTTTACTAAAAAGTTTTTATATAAAAATAGTTTTATAAATGTTTTATAAAAGAAATAAAAAGAGAGACGGGTCCATTACCCTTTTAACAAGTGGTAAAATTAAAAATGTTGTACAACCGACTTCAATATAAATTACAATACAATACAATACAATACAATACAATACTCTTTATTATACACCAAGAAAAGATAAAAATATCAAAAATAGAAAATAAACAACTATTGAGGGAAATACAAAGGGCGGTCTTATTGCTACATGGCAATCTCTTCCAGACAACCCAGAAGAAGAAATAAATAACAATAAGAAAAAGAACAATGGGTAGGGTGCACTAAAATAAAAAAATAAAAACAAATAAAAATAAAATAAAGAGAAAGAAAGAAAAAGACAACATTCTTCAGGTGAAGTGAGAGGAGTTAGAGAGACAAATAGTATTCCTTAATCTGTTTCTGGAACAAATTTAAGGATTGGGCACTTCTAATTGACTAGGGTAAGGGGTTCCAAAGTCTTACTCCAAGAACAAGAGAATGATTTATCATAATAAATCGAGGAGGGCACAGTACATTTGAGGGAAAGATTTTCTTTGGATCGTAAGGAAAAATTATCACAGGAGCTGAGAAATTTAAAACGTTCTTTTAGATAGGAAGGATTTGATATATTAACACGTTCATGTACGCATACCATAATAGTCAACTTATAGGCCGTGGCGCATGATTACTCCATACAAAGTTTGAGGGCGTCCACACTGGTATCGCCGTATCACAAACAAAATATTGCATATGACTTGTCGGTAACGTCAGTAAGCGTTCACGTTCAAGGATGCACCGGTATATCTCTAACCAAAAACGACATTTGACGACGTTGTTCATGTGTCGTGGTAGGTACCTGTCAATGTGTGTGTGACTTATGTTCAAGTAAGAAAAAAATTAATGTATTGTAGCACTAGAACTTTGAAATGACGTAGCTACCTAAAGATTATACAGAGATTTGACGTTGCCAGCCGTTGTGCTTAGAAATTAAAATTTTCTTAGGACGTGATTAGACTATGTGCGTCATCGCGAAGACATCAGATTGGACGTTCTGTAACGTTGTTAGAACGAATGTGTTAAATAAGACGCAGTAGAGAGCAGAAAGTATATGAGTATTCCGACGAAGACGGATTGGGAGCCACTTGAGCTTAGTGCGGTATTTTGAGACAGGGTCATATTTGCGAAGCCCAAATATGAACTGTATACAGAGATTTTGGAGTCGCTCAAGCTTGTTAAGTTGCTCCTCGGTGATATCAAGGTAACAAATGTCAGCATAGTCGAGGATAGGGAGTAGTAACGATTGTGTAAGCGTAATTTTGGTGGCAATGGGTAAAAAGTAATTAAGCCTCCGGAGTGAAGCATAAGCTGCAAACATTTTACGGCTCACTGCATTAATTTGGGGTGCTCAAGAAAGATTGGAATCCAAAAGGATACCTAAATTTTTAATGGGGTTGTTATAAACTAATTTGCTTAATTCCGCGTAAAGAAAGAAAGAAAATTATGTGTCCTGCCCACTTTTAAGGGGACCTCCCACCCTCCCTCAATCGCGCGCACTATACCCGTCGTCGTCTATCTCAGCACTACCATCCCCAGCACCACCACACTAGGCACAACACACCACTCTCGAAACCAGAAAGAAACACGTGGCGAAATAAGACACGTGTTTCTTCTTCTTACGCCACATCATTTTCTTGCTTTCTTTACGCGGAATTAAGCAAATTAGTTTATAACAACCCCATTATAATTGATTTCCGCAAAGTAACGCCTGATTCTAAGTTTTTGACAACGTCATTATAAGGGATAGGAACTCCATTAGGGTTGTAGTTGACATTTTTTTATTTTGCAAATCATTCTTGAACACCCAATGATTATGGCTTGGGATTTTAAAGGGTTCACCGTTAACCCATAAGAACGACTCCATTCGAGAATACATGTTAGATCCTAATTGATACATTCCACTGCTTTGGGAAGATCTTCAATGGTTTTTGTAAGTATATTTGGAGATCATCTACATACAAGTGGTAGAGAAAAGATATTTGGGATGTAATCGTATTAATAAAGATTGCGAATAAAAGAGGAGATTAGACACCACCTTGTGGAACGCCAGCTACTGTATCAAGCCACGAAGAAAATCTATCTTGGACACGAATGCGTTGCCGGCGCCCATACAAATAACTATGAAACCAGGAAATTGCAGTTGGAGATATGTTAAGAAAACGCAGAATCCTTAACAGGATATCATGATCAACAGTATTAAAGGCATTGCTGAAATCCAGCAACACCTATAATGTGTAATACTTTCATAGCGTAATGTCTTATGGAATTTTGCTATGGGGTAATGCGACTGATATTGAAGCTATATTTGTTTTGCAAAAGAGAGCCGTACGGGCGATTTATAATCTAAATTGTAAAGAGTCCCTCAGAGAAAAATTTAAAGAAATAAACATATTAACTTTGGCATCGCAATATATTTATGAAAATGTAATGTATGTACATAAAAACATAAATAGCTTTTATAAGAATAAGGATGTTCATACCTTAAACACTAGGAACAAACATAAGCTTGTAATGCCACTTACTAGACTCCACAGAATTAGTAATTCATTTATGGGGCAATGTATACGCTTTTACAACTAAATCCCAGAACATGTTCAAAGTTTGTCAATAAACAAGTTTAAAAGTTTTATTAAAGAAAAACTGTACAAAAAGGGTTATTATAATATCAAGGAATACATGAATGAAAATAACCCCTGGGAATAAGGTGATCGCCAAATAATCGTGTGCGTGTGTGAGTACGTGTGCGTGTGCGTGTGTATGTGCGTGTGCGTGTGCGTGTACGTGTGAGTGTGCGTGTGCGTGTGCGTGTGCGTGTGAATGTACGTGTGCGTGTGCGTGTGTATGTGCGTGTGCGTGTGCGTGTACGTGTGAGTGTGCGTGTGCGTGTGCGTGTGCGTGTGCGTGTGCGTGTGCGTGTTCGTGTGCGTGTTCGAGTGCGTGTGCGTGTGCGTGTGCGTGTGCGTGTGCGTGTGCGTGTGCGTGTGCGTGTGCGTGTGCGTGTGCGTGTGCGTGTGCGTGTGCGTGTGCGTGTGCGTGTGCGTGTGCGTGTGCGTGTGCGAGTGCGTGAGCGTGTGCGTGTGCGTGGGAGTGTGAGTGTGCGTGTGCGTGTGCGTGTGCGTGTGTGTGTGCGTATGCGTGTGCGTGTGCGTGTGCGTATGCGTGTGTGCGTATGCGTGTGCGTGTGCGCGTGCGCGTGTGCGTGTGCGTATGCGTGTGCGTGTGCGCGTGCGCGTGCGCGTGCGCGTGCGCGTGCGCGTGCGTGTGATTGTGCGCGTGCGTGTGCGTGTTCGTGTGCATGTGCGTTTGCGTGTGCGTGTGCCTCTGCGAGGGCAAGTGCGTGTGCGCGTGAATATACGTGTGCGTGTGTATGAGCGTGTGCGTGTGTGTGTGCGTGTGAATGTGCGTGTGCATGTGCGTGTGCGTGTGCGTGTTCACGTGCGTGTGCGTGTGCGTGTGCGTGTACGTGTCCGAGTGCGTGTGCGTGAGTGTGTGTATGTGAGTGTGTGTGTGTGCGTGTGCGTGTGCGTGTGCGAGTGCGTGTGCGAGTGCGAGTGCGTGTGCGTGTGCGCGTGCATGTGTATGTACGTGTGCGTGTGTATGTACGTGTGCGTGTGCGCGTGCGTGTGCGTGTTTGTGTGCGTGTGCGAGTGCATGTGCGTGTGCGTGGGCGTGTGCGTGTGCGTGTACGTGTGCGTGTGCGTATGCGTGTGCATGTGTGTGTGCGCGTGCGCGTGCGTGTGCGTGTGCGTGTGCGTGTGCGTGTGCGTGTGCGTGTGCGTGTGCGTGTGTGTGTGCGAGTGCGTATGCGTGTGCGTGTGCGTGTGCGTGTGCGTGGGAGTGTGAGTGTGCGTGTGCGTGTGCGTGTGCGATGCGTGTGCGTGTGGGTGCGTGTGCGTGTGCGTGTGCGTGTGCGTGTGCGTGTGCGTGTGCGTGTGCATGTGCGTGTGCGTGTGCGTGTGCGTGTGCGTTTGCGTGTGCGTGTGCGTGTGCGTGTGCGTGTGCGTGTGCGTGTGCGTGTGCGTGTGCGTGTGCGTGTGCGTGTGCGTGTGCGTGTGCGTGTGCGTGTGCGTGTGCGTGTGCGTGTGCGTGCGTGCGTGTGTGTGCATGTGTGTGTGTGCGTGTGTGAGTGTGTGTGTGTGTGTGTGTGTCCTGGCAAGGGCCTCTTCTTTTGTAGACTCTACAAAGTAGGAAAGCCCTTTGCCATAATTATCAGGCTTGGCAAACAGAAGAAGGCAAACGCGGAATCAGACTTCTCTCACCGTTGTCGCTTCTGCCGTCGGTCTGGATAATATATTTTAAGTCTGGTGTAAGTGATATGCCTATATACCACCATGTGTTAGATCCACAAGTTATTTCTAGCATTTACATTATCATCTCTTACGAAACCCTCGGAATGGAATAGGATGCTCCATTTTTTTAGAACGCCACACGGCCTTTAAATACAGGTAGTGTACAGACAGGTAGGCACTATAAAACATAAAAGATAACATAAACACTCACGCCTTTCACCCAGAGGGGTAGGCAGAGATTATGACTTCTTGATTTGGCACGATCCTGACACACCTCTCTCGCTTCCTCCACATCCACATACCTACGCATACACGCTCGTCATTTAAAGGTACTCTTAATTTTGCCCATTTTCAATATATCACCAATTTGGTCGATAAACTTTCGCCTAGGGCGTCCCTTCCCGACTCTGCCGTTCACCTCTGCAACATAAATTTGCTTTGTCACTCTTTCCTCATTCATTCTTTCTACATGACTAATCCACCGAAGCATTCCTTTCTTAATCCTGGTCACAACATCATCTTGCAAACTACACTCTTCTCCTATCAAACAATTTCTCACCCTGTCATTCAGATTCATCCTGAACATACTCCTTAATGACTGCATTTCTACAGCATTTATTCTACTCTCGTGCTTCTTCTGCCACACCCAACGTAGGCATAATAGCTCTTAATAACTTCTTTTTTCTCAGGTTGTTTCGTTGGTGTTTCTCGTTGGTGATACTGGCCGCCATAGGACTGTTCCTCTACTTTGACACAAAGGACTCTCCAGAACGACTGATCTCACTTCTTGGTCTCATTGTCATTTTGTTATTAGGTAAGGTAATCCTTTAACGTTTTTCAAATACAGAAAAGTAATCATCATCATCGTTAATACACTGCTGAACATAAGCCAAAAGTCATAGCTTCATAGATTCTCATAGAGAGGATTTTGCCATAGTTGCCATGCTTGGCAGGCGGGTTGGCAACCGCAGTTGTTAGTGTTTCGGGTTGATATCAGGAAGATACTACTGCCCATCCGCTGTTTCATTTCCATATGACTTTTTTTTATAGAATGAGTGTGACAAACGAGCACACAGTCCACCTAAGGGTAAGTGGATGCTGTGGCCCATAGACATTTATATTTTATCTTCGATTAAGAATCAAAATGTAGCTGCGTTGTCACCCCTGAGGATTACGATGGAATGCCTCGTTTCCAGTAAAAAGGGTCTCCGGTTCTCTACACTCACTATACGAAACACAGCAGCAGTAAGCTGCTATTTAATATAAAATTCGTAGTACCATAATATAGCTGCAGCGTGACTCTACCACGTAAAAATATTATAATATATATAGTATGTATTAGAGAAACAAAAAAAAATTCTGAGTGTCGTGGAACACTCGGTTGAAACAAAGTTCCTTGCGTAGTATATTATTATTGATAAACGTAGGCATTATATCATTGATTAACAAATACAAATAAATGAATTAGTAGCGTCTATTTGTAATAAAATAATATTTCTTTCATGGCAAGATAAGAAAAATTGCGAGGGAGATGGATATTATTCCATCTCACTTCCTTATTTCGCCCCCAAGACCGTCTACACAAGGGGTAGTGACGAAAAAATCTTGACGCCTAGCTCCCATCCGCCAAACCCGTACCGTCCGATAAGGAACTTCGTTCCAACTAGTTAATTCGAAATTAATTGACTTAATATCAAAGTACCTACTCTTAATTACAACTATTAAGGCTTATAAACTAATAACACATATTAATGATACTAAACATTACTATTAACTGTGTTGGTACCCACACCACAATATACAAATTATTTAAAATTATCATTGTGGCACGACTCAAAACTCAAACCTGTACCTAAGGCTGGTCTTTTATTCTGATGTACTTCTACTGCCCATATCCTATTACAGTTTCTCTATGTCGCCTCTTAAGATACCCACGCGCCACGGCACGATATGAGGTGATAGATTTTTTTACGCTGCTATTACTCGAGAATAGAGAGATATGCTTATTGCTTACCACATAATAATAAATACTGAAAGATAATTTCTTAACTTTTTTCTTAAACCTCCCCTCCGCTCAATCTCATCTGCACCTCGTGAGCAAGTAATAAATGAGCCTCTTTTCCCCAAGTGGTGTAGGAAAATATATCCAAATATGCCGGTACAAATCCCATAGATCGGTTTAAGAAAACAGCCTTACGATAGCAATTTGCAAACGTCTTATAAGAAATGCGTCATTTTGTGCATTCTTGAAATATTCTATGGCCAGAGTAGAATTGTAAATACTGATAATGAGAAGAGAACCCTTTTTATCACTGACGAAACATTCCATCTTAGTCCTCAGGGGTAACAACTGACAACGTATTCTGCATTTTGATTCTTAATCGAGTGTAGATTTAGCCGAGTTGATATTAGTTAAAAACGAACAAAATCTTTTTTTTTAAATAATGATATGACAAACGAGGCAATAGTCAACCTGGTGGTAAATGGCTTCTGCATTACATGAACACCTGCATCCAATTTCAAACAAACAAGACCACAAATGCCCTTTCAACCCTGATTAGTGATACGGAAACAGGTATTTAGTATACATGGTTATTTTTCAAAGAGTAGCCAAATTTCAAACTTAAGTTCAAATACATAAATAATCTATCTTTATTGCAGTTGTTGATAATACGCGTAATAAGGCTTCTACTTTTATTTTTAAATTATCCCAAACTAGCTGTTCCCCGAGACTTCGCCGGCGTGGAGTTATTTTTCACGGAATCTATACATATAATAAAAATGTAAATAGCAGATGTCTGTACATTTTATATTTTTGTAATAAAATTGATTGAGAGGTACTAAAAATAAGTAATTAAATACATTTCTACCATTTTTAGATTTTTCTGTCTGTCTGTCTGTCTGTCTGTCTGTCTGTTTGTTTGTTAACGTATCACGTATAAAGTACTAATTTATATCATAAGAATAGTTAAGGAAATTATTAAGTGTATATTCAGGTTACATTTAGTCTTTATTTCATTAAAATTGGTTAATTCCATCAAAAGTTATGACAAATATTCTGAAGTATGGGTACTAAGTATAGGTACGAATTTGTTCAATAGTGGCGTTGGATGAGTCATCAAGTACATTTTAAAATTAATATCATATTATAAATCATAATTAAATGATGTAAAATAATGTTCTATAATGATATAATTATATATAAAACGCAGTAATCAAAAGTATTACATAAAGAACGTAATAAATATATACAAAATATATTAATTAACCTTATTATCTAAACTAAATTAAAGTACAATAGTTAACCAATTTCATCGATAGATGGTGGTGTGGCACAAATGTGATATCAAGTTCATTTAATCTTTGTTTTATTGAAATTGGTTAATTCTATCGAAAGTTATGATTATTATTTTGAAATGTAGGTTCGAATTTGTTTAATGGCGCCACACAATCTCAGAAATAGTAATAAAAAGATTCGTTCGTAAAAAAAAACGTTCTATTATAATATATTTCGTATCGTTCTATTATAGTACTTAAAACACAGTAAAAAATATGTTTTCCTTAAATTAAAAAAGGATGTTTTCTCACAAAGAACGTAATAGATGGCGTTGTACAAATTACAACCTTTTCTGAATTGCGGTGTTAAGATTTTTCGCAGGTGAATCGTATTGAGACTCACTGAAATAATTTACGTCCATGAGCCTGACGAAGTTGCAAGCCTGTAAGGTATATATACAGTAATCTACTAATCTATGCCTGCCTGTAAGAGTCGTGTAGGCTAACAACTCATCACAAGAATCACCAGAAAAAAGAGATATTGAAATATTCAATTATTGAACAAAATTACAAAACTCGACTAAAAGTAGCAAAATTGCAATAACTGTCGTGATAGTGATATTGTTTTATACCCAGAATCCCTCTAATACCAAAAAACTTTCCTTACAGTTTTAAGTAAAGTAAAGTAAAGTTGCAGCCTATTTACGGCCCACTGCTGGGCTCAGGCCTCCTCTCATTTCTGAGAGGGTTTTAGGGCAAGGAAATGTCCACCGCGCTGTCCCAATACGTGTTGGCGAACTTCACATGTCATCGAAATATTTTTTTTTCTTTCTCAGACATGCAGGTTTCCTCACGATGTTTTCCTTCACCGCCGAGCACGTGGTAAATCAGCACTTAAAATTGCAATTAACAATTTCATTGGTGCCGGCGGGGATCGAACCCGGGTTGCTCGAGTACTGTGAAGCTTACAGCGAGCGCTAACCATCTGAGCTACCACGGCTCAGGCTTCAGTTTTAAGATAGGGATAATAACATCGATGATGACATCGATATTGGCATCGACAGCTCAACATCGATGTTCGATGTTTAGGCTACTCAAAACATCGATGTTGACCATTATCGATGGTTTTTGTATATGTGTAGATACTTACACATTGTTTCAAAATTATGTGGGTATACACAGCAAGGGAAAAGTAACAATTAACTTGAATATCAATTTACGTAGAATAGTTATTATGCGACAACCGATAACGACACTACAAAATAAAGCGAAAGCAGTGACCATTGTGACATTACAGGAGACACTTGACAATTAAGTTTAACTCACCATACTTACATTTTTTTAGGTTAACGATGCGTTCAGAAATTCTGAATTATTCATAATTTTTATTCTTCAAAGCAGATGCAAGATTTAGTTTATATTGATTTCGCGAGTTCGCATTGTTTGCAAGTTCCCATTTATCGATTATGGGTTCATTGACGTCGATGTTTCGATGTTTGACATATGTCAACATCGATGTTAAAACATCGAAGTTTTAATTTTTAACATCGATGATCATCTAACATCCCTATTTTAAGTGTGTTTCCCACTTAGCGTGATACGACGATCGTAAATAAAGCGCAAGGTCAAACTTTACGCGTTGCAGGAGTGGACCTCAGTACTGACTGTTTTGCACATGGCCAACTCTATGTTGCTTTTTCCCGCGTTAGTAGTCCCCGTAACCTTTTTCTGTACGCGCCGGCTAAGTCTACTTCTATCGTCGTTTACACAGAAGCACTATCACAAACGACTTACAACTTTGAGCATATCGATTTATTTTGTTACCACTTATTCATACAGTAATGATATAAATCGTTTAATATTCTCTTTCCCTAAACGTCAAATTCTTTAAGTAAAACCTATATTCGCGAGCTACGCCGCGGGCACAGCTAGTCCTAAAATAAAAGCAGCCCACGTTACTCCTTATAACATCAGCTATCTGCCAGTGTGTATAAATATTGACAAATATTGATATTAATATTTATACGATACTAACGTCACTCAATTGTTTTGTGTTCCCGGAACCCCTCCACTAACATTTAAACTTTATGGTATGCTATTGAAGTTCAAATTGACTTTTAAATATTATTAGGAATCTTTTGTATGGGAATATAGAAAAGTGTTGTTATTAGACTTTTTCAGGCATTTTTTTTTAATTTTTCTCTCCCTAAGAACCATCTTCATACTTCAAGGAATATTATAAAAAAAGAATTGGCGATTTCGGTTCAGCTGCTCTCGAGATTTGCGCTTAGCAACACATTCAGCGATTCATTTTATATTATAAAGAGGACTGAATGTGGTTTATGGGCAACAAAATATTTTTGGCAAATTTGACCGGTTATAGCAAAATAACCCTATAAATAAAGACTAATTGACAGATAAGTCCCACTGGAACTATAAAAAATATATGGTTTATCCAGGTTTCGTGTTTTCCTCCAGTCCTGGACGTATCAAATGGCGGACAGTTAGCATGGGGCTTCTCTTACAATTCATTTTTGGATTAATCTTCATCAGATGGGACTCAGGCAGGCTCGCCCTTCAATGTTTCTCCGATAAGGTAGGTAACCTGAAATGATTACAATATATTATATGTGAAATACATTTCCATATATTTATATTATCGTTTATATACACTCGATTCTTTAAGAATCACCATCGCATTATCCAATTTTTACACAATCCTTCTGCTGGTGATAAGAGGGCTGGTTCTTTTCTCACTCAAAGGCTAAGTATAGCTATATAGCGAGGAAACGCAGAACGCAGCCAGCGTTCTTGGCACTAGAGCGCGGGGAGTACGACTGTATTATGATCTAAGTTTTTAGTTTTTTTTTTAAATTATGTAGTATAAAACCTATTCTTTAAATTGTCTTGCCGCTCACATTTCTTCTTAAGACTAATTACAAAAAAAAATCATTTTTAATTGATCTAAGTTGAAATTAACATGCCGTGGTAGCATCTGATTGGAAGTCGTACGTAAGTCAGCACCTAAAATTCATCGACAATTCCGCGAGCTAAGATGAAAGAAAACTTTTTGAAGAACCCTGCTTGTAAGAAATAAAAAAGTACTAGGACATATATGAGAAATACGCCGACACGACTTGGGGAGGCGTAACATCTTTTTCAAATCAAATCAAATCATTTATTTCGCTAAAAACATGGGTACAGACGGATTGATACAGAGTCAATATTTGTTTCCACATATTTTGCCTTTCGTGGCATGCGAAAATTTTTTTTAAAATAAATGTGTTCAGAACAAATGAACTAAAATTATAAATAAACACATAATATTCCAGTATGTAACTACCACTTTGTAATCATTACACTTATGTTTTAGAAGAACATAACAAAATTAGAAATTATTTACTTCCTTATCCCTCTTAGTAATGAGAGAAGGCCTTTATCTAGCCGTGGGATGTGGACTGCTACTTTCAGTAGTAAATAATGAGTTCGGTAAAGAATATATCATGTGAAGTATCTTTTTTATAAAATTAACTAATTTTGTGTTACCGTAATGGTCTATCTACTCGTAAATGTACTGCTGAACATAGCCCTCCTGCATAGATTGCCTGATAGGAGGAATATTTGCCATAATTGCCACGCCTGGCATGCAGTTCGGCAAACGCAGTTTCTTATATTTCAGTTGTTATCAGGAAGACTCTGCTCCCCATCTCCTAGTTTATTTCCTTCTGTGGCTCTAACAACACACACAGTACGATATGGGGCAGTGGACATTCTTACACCGCCACTACACGTTCAACTAATTTTGTATTATAACAGATTAAAATAATTTACTATTGTGTCTCTTATATTATTGTGTATATCTTCTTTTTAAATAATTGAATTTACATTTATCTACCAAATGAGAAGTTGATAATGAGGGTAGACCGCAACGTATATTTTAGATTATAGTATTATCTTTATTATTCTTTTTAAATTGTTATTTTTTTTCTCCTTTTAAGGTGGCAACATTCTTGTCGTATGGTGTAGATGGCGGCGCTTTCGTTTTCGGAGAACTTCTAGTCAGGACCGAAGGAGTTTTCGCATTCAGTGTAAGTCAAATAAATACGAGTTTAACCAATCGCCAGCCCAGTAGCTAAATGTATAGCTAAAGCACTATGGCGCGCGGATTCGATCGCAATGATTAAGTATTTTGGACCCACCATACAGATAACTTTACAAGTTTTATTTTATTTTACATGGTGTTGTTTAACACCGTGATGTAACTGCGTAGGGGAATCACGCACATTCCATTTCATCCCCGGTGTCGTAAAACTATGGAAAGTGCCAAAAAACTAAAGGTCATGGCCATCATTATGCCACGCCCAAACACTGTATATGTATATATAAAATAGTAACATGTACCATTTAATCTAGATATATTTAAAAAAAATCATAGATGATGTCACTTTCCAGACGTTGCCAGTTATCTTCTTCTTCAGCATGTTAGTGGAAGTGCTGTTCTTCTGGGGTGCTCTTCAATGGTTCTGCTTGAAGCTGGGACATATGCTGCGTGTGGCGACTTCTACAACAGTCTGCGAGAGCGTCATAGCTGTAGCTAACGTGTTTTTAGGCCAGGTCAGTATATAGAAATAATGTCCTTTTTAGTGCCGTATGTTGACGCAAAAAAAGAAGAAGAGAGAGCGGAAGAAAACGCGACTATAGACTTTTGTCGCTAGAAAGACTTCATGGCTTCTGATAGCCTGCAGTATATCATCTCGTATATTCCTGTATAAAAACACAGCGACTAGTGATGGTAGGCAACAACAAAAGTGCAAGACATCTGTCCATACACATGGTAGCGATTGCGGCATTTTTTTTAAATAAAAGGGAAGCTCATATCAAACAGTTAACTGATATAGACCAAAAAAAAAGATTGTTGGTTAAAGCTTTTGACCTTGAGTGACAAACGAGCTCTTAGTCTAGAATCCGTCACTCTATCTCATTTTACATGTATCAGTCAATTATCGTTAATATTTTAACATACCTATAACACATTCAAAAGTAGAACAAGCTAGAAGAGCACAATGAATATTTTTATTTTAAATCGCATAAATTGTAAATGGTCCTTCCAGACAGATTTAAACTGTCGACCTATGGTTCTTCGAGCTGGTTAACATTTATTGTGCGCGTCCGTCTTTTCTTCTCTTGAATGTGTTATGTATTAAAATAGTTGACAGTCAGCTCTGTTGTCATGACGTCAAAAGGTGGATGCTTGTGGCATTGCATACGTCTGAGGTAAAAGCCTGGAAGGTCTCCGATAGTTAGCAGTTTATTTATCTCGTACAAGATGTGGACGGGTGGTAGCAGGGCTTCCAATATATGGTGGTATAATCATTTTGTTTAGAATATATAAAATCCTAGACATGTGAAAGAGAGCAGCGTCAAAGATTCGAACGTCAGTCAACGTCTATCAGTGGACTTTTGCAGTCTGATGATGAGGAAGAAAAAGAAGATACAACTATTGGCTCTTATTCTTCAAACATGCATACAACATAAATACAAAGGCGGAAAAACAGCACAAAAAATATTTAAAAAAATATTCTGAATTATTTTTTCTCTTATCTAATACTGTCAATTTTACTGCAGCTACATTCTTTTTCAGTCAGAGTCAGTGTTGATTATTAAGCCGTACCTCTCGCTGCTCACTCCTTCGGAGATACACGTCGTGATGGCCTCAGGCTTCGCAACGGTCTCTGGCAAGTCTTATAGATTTATTTATAAATTTGAGCAAACCCTCAGAATTTGTGAGTTATAACATATCAGCAAGCCAGGATAGAAAAGTTTTTTTTTTATATAGCGGGAGGCAAACGAGCAGGCGGCCCACCTTATATTTTATGACTACCGCCGCCCATAAACAACTGCAACACAAGGGGAATTGCTGCTGTTGCTCAGTTTCGGAATTGGAATATCACCAAAATTGTTCCAAAATTCCGAAGCTACGAATTTTTTTTATAGATTAAGGTAAATACGGGCACATACCGTAGTCCACCTGATGGTAAGTGATTGCTATGGTTCACAGACTTCTTCATCTAGGTGTATAGGGTAGGTCGATTAAGTATTAAAATGCAGCTTCACTTCTGCTGTTTCACGCTGGTATTCTTTGAGAGCGTGGTCCTTCCCCGGTCGAGCCCAGCTATTAATGCTACAACCACAATATAGCTATAGCCACATACGAGTATATAGGCTCTACAACGTAAACAAACTCGCACTTTTGACGCTGCTACCTGTCGCCAGTCTGGGTAATGAGGCCTTTGTTCACCTGTAGACAAGTGTCCAACAACAGTATATCCATTTTGATGATAATTGTTAAGATAAAGATATAACACCGCTTTTAACAGTGGTAGAGCCACGCGGCAGCTTTTGCTGTCGCACGGATGGGCCGGCTCGAACAGGGGTGGTACCACGACCTCACAGAATACCAGCATGAAGTAGAGGTTTACCTCTGCGTTTCGCTTGGTGAGTGCAGGTGGCCGGAGGCCCTTTTTATTGGAAATGAGGCATTCCATCTTAGTCCTCACGGGTGACAACGCATCTGCATTTTGTAGATGTAGATGTCTATGGGCCGCAGCAACCACTTACCATCAGGTGGACTGTGTGCTCGTTTGTCACCCTTATCCTATAAAAAAAAATAACAAAGGTCAAATAAGAAAGAAAGACTGGTGACGGGTAACATCGTTCAAGTTTTGAGACATCTTACGATCTCTAATCTACCTGACATATTTTCCAATTCATCATCGTTACAGCGGTTACAGCACACAGGTTACCACAAAACAGGTCATGCCGACCTTTCGGAACCCGTACTGACTGTTGATTTATTTTATTGCATGCCTTAAGCGCAAAGCGCGTAGATATGTTCTACTAGCGCCTAAAAATCAAGATTCCAACGTTATGTCGCATAAAATCGTATCTAACAATCATATTGAACATATAAATTATACTTTTTATATAAAAAGCACATTGTCAGAAAGATAAATGATTGTTGAACTTATTAATATTTTTTTAAATCGATTAATTGCTATTTTTACATAAAAAAATGGTTTATAGTGGCTTATGGTGTAGATTTATCAATTCCGCATGGGGTGGTAAACACGATAACTTTTTAATTATTTAATTCAATCTATTTTTTAATCTCTTCATCTATCATGTGGGAGGCCATGGAATGTTAACGGTGGTAGAGCCACGCGGCAGTTTTTGCTGTTGCACGCATGATGAGCCGGGTTGGTACCACGACCTCACAGAATAACGGCGTGAAGTAGAAGCTCTGCTTCTGCGTTTCGTCTGGTGAGTGCAGGTGGCTGGAGACCCAATTCCCCCCCCCCCCCCCCATCCATATGGTAGCGGAATTACACGAAAGACTACCCCAGGAGGGTACCAGCACCCCTGGAGAATCCCTCGCTGAGCATCCACGACCATGTTATTCCACTCCTGAGCGTGGGTGCTCAGGCTGCCGCGTATTCTGGGGAGGGGGGGGGGGGGGGGGGCAAAATTCCGCTCAAATACATAACTGCTCGGGGCAAACTGAGCAACAATCCCAAAGCGACCCCTGCCACGCTATCCGTGAATTTCTGCAACATCAGGGGACTTTACTCGAACCTAAACGCCGTCCCCTACCATCTCGAGACGGCGAAGCCGGCCTTGCCCTTTCTCACCGAGACGCAGGTACTGTACGTACCTACTTCGTATCTCTCCTGCCACGCCATCGCCTACGCGGACTCCAGATGTGGAGGATCATACACCTTCCCTGTTGGACCTTCTGCTGACCTCTCATCCGGACGGATATCAGGTTTCCGTCGATGCCCCTCTCGGCTCTTCGGACCATTGTCTAATCCGGAGTGTGGTGCCACTCACGCTTGCGGTTGCGTTCTGCAGGTTGCCGCCGTGTTTGGCATTACAGGTCGGCGGATTGGGACGGAATGCGGTCTTTCTTTGTATCCTACCCATGGGGGCGGGTTTGCTTCTCGCCGGATGATCCCTGCGCTGTTGCTGACTCTGTCACTGATGTGGTGCTACAGGGAATGGAACTATTTATTCCATCATCTGTGGTACCCATCGGCGACAGATCACAGCCTTGGTTTGGTCGCTCCTGTAAGACTGCATTACGTAGTAAGCAGGAGTGTTATCTGGGCTACGGCTTCGGCGACTCGGGATGTACACCAGCACACTTAAAAAGAAGTATAACTTCGCCTCCAGGTCCTTCAAAAGAGTTATTGCCAAGGCAAAGTCAGAGCACATAGGCAGAATTGGCGAGAAACTAGTTCGCCTTCCTTCGGGAACCCGTGCATTCTGGTCTCTCGCCAAGGCTGTCCAAGGGAATTTCTGTAAGCCATCACTACCATTTCTGCACAGGTAGGACGACTTACTGGCCCATGCCGCAAAAGACAAAGCCGACCTTTTAGGCTCCCTTTTTGCGTCCAACTCGACTCTTGATGACGGGGGAAAAACACCGCCGACCATCCCGCGGTGTGAATGCTCCATGCTGGATTTGCGGTTCTCACAGCGCACGGTTCGCAAAGCACTGCTCTCCCTGGACATCCAGAAGTCGAGTGGGCCTGACGGAATCCCCCCAATTGTGCTGAGGACGTGTGCTCCGGAGTTGGCACCGGTCCTAACGCGTCTATTCCGGTACTCCTACTCCCAAGGCGTAGTCCCGAATTCAAGGAAGACAGCTTTTGTCCACCCGATCCCTAAAAAAGGCGACCGCTCAGACCCATCGAACTATAGGCCTATCGCCAACCCCCCTTGTTCTCCAAAATAATGGAATCCATTATTAACTGCCAGCTCATGCGGTACCTTGAGGATCACCAGCTGATTAGTGACCGCCAATACGGTTTTCGTCTGGGTCGATCAGCTGGTGATCTTCTGGTCTACCTGACCCATAGATGGGCGGAGGCAGTAGAGTCCAAGGGGGAGGCGTTGGCCGTTAGTTTGGACATTGCGAAGGCCTTTGATCGGGTTTGGCACAAAGCGCTTCTTTCGAAGCTCCCTTCCAGTCCAGGGATTCCGTCAGGCCCACTCGGCTTGCCGAGAAATTGTGCAATTGGGTCACCAGCTTCCTTGCAGATCAGTGCATCAAGGTCATTGTAGACGGTGCATGCTCCGACTGCAAGCCTATTAACGCTGGTGTTCCACAAGGCTGTGTGCTATCACCAACGCTGTTTCTTCTGCATATCAATGATATGTTGCTAACTGGTAACATTCATTGATATGCGGATGACAGCACTGGTGATGCTCTATACACCGGCCTTCACGCCAATATTTCTCGGGAAAACGTCGCCGAGTACCGGAACAAACTTGTGTCTGAAGTCGAGTCTTTGCTAAACAAAGTCTCGGATTAGGGACGACTAAATCTAGTCCAGTTTAATCCTCAGAATACACAAGTTTGCGCGTTACCCGCTAAAAAGAACCCCTTTGTCGTATCTCCTCAATTTCAAGGCACTCCCCTTCTTGCCTCAGCCAGTATCGGAATCCTCGGAGTCGACATATCGAGTGACGTGCAGTTTCGTGGTCACTTGGAAGAGAAGGCCAAATCGGCCTTAAAAAAGCTTGGCGTGCTCAGCAGAGCGGGATAGTATTTCATGCCGGCACACCGCCTGCAACTTTACAAGGCGCAGGTTCGGCCTCACATGGAATACTGTTCCCATCTCTGGGCTGGGGCTGCCCAACTCCTTCCACTTGACCGCATCAAGCGCAGAGCGGCTCGAATCGTCGACGACCGAATCCTTTCCGATCGGCTCGACTCATTGGCACTGCGAAGAGATGTTGCTTCCCTTTGCATTTTCTTTCTCATCTACCACGGGGAGTGCTCTGAGGAATTGTTTGGATTAATCCCAGCCGCCAAATTTCACGAACGCACATCGCGGCAGAACTCCCGATACCATCCACACCATCTGGATGATTGGCGGTCCACCACTGTGCGATTTAGAAGATGTTTTCTGCCTCGCACGACTTCCTTGTGGAATCGATTACCATCAGCGATTTTTCCGGACCGATACGACTTAGGGACCTTCAAGAAAAGAGCCTACTCCTTTTTAAAAGGCCGGCAACGCATCTGCAATTCCCTCCATGGTGTTGCAGTTGTTCATGGGCGGCGGTAGTCACTTACCATCAGGTGAGCCGCATGCTCGTTTGCCCCCTCTCATATAAAAAAAATGTAAATGGCAGTTTAATTTTGTTTTGTTTAGAAATAATTATTTTTTTAGCAGCAAATTCTCGAAATTTTCTGTGTTTTAGCAGCCTTGTATTAATTAATTTTACTAAATACACTTTGCTCTGCTTCGCTCATGATGCCTGCTCACGACACGGGCGAGCGCGTAGTAACGCGCTCACCCGCATCTTGAGCAAAATAGGCAGCAAAAATATCGATCGCTGTAGAAATACAAAATATTCCAAAAACCAAATTTGATACATACTTGACTAAGGTTATTATTTTTATAATCACAGATTTTTATTATAATATTTAGTCGCTAAAAGTACGTAGGATTTATATATAAGTATACTTATATGTACCAGCAGGCGAATTGTAGGGCGTGGGTCCCCACTAGATGGAGTGACGACCTGGTAAGACATGCAGGAAGTCGATGGATGGATGTTTTTAGTCAAAACTTGTGTGTAATTAAACTAGTTTAAAAATTTACGTATAATCATTTATAGGTACCTACGTAATTTTTTTAATGCGCTTAAGGCATGTTTATTGTTTCTAAATGTTGTGGTGTACTTCATTCTCTTCTTGTCATTAAACACAGTAGTTAATAGTACTTCAATCTCTTCTTGTCATTAAACACAGTTGTTAATATCAAAAGCTCGCTATATAAAATAGCGAGCTTTTGATATTAACTACATATTTTTATAATTTTCTTATTATAATACTTTCTTTCTTAGATCAAACATAACCGACAGTAGTCTATTGGTAGGGTACGGACCACGAACTTCAAGGTCGTTGGTTCGAATCTGCCATTCGACTACTGCGGCGAACTACTCCTAGCACAAGCATTTTAAGCTTACTTTATGCGATGGAAATCTCAAGATAAGGTGTTTGCTTAGGCGCCTTGAGATACTATCGTCATCGACTGTGTGCTGGGTAAAGCTGCTCTTAAAATCTTCACATTGTGAAGTTTTTGGGAGATTTTAACAGCATAAACAGCAGTTTTGGTTGTATTTTGAGAAAGTTTTGAAACAAATTATTTTAAAGGATTATTTCTTATACTTGACTGGCAAAAGTACTACAGTACGAGTCCATTACAAAAAAGAAAAAATAACATGGAGTTGCGGACAGGTACGATCCTAGCGGCATACATCGCGTTCGGCGCGGAGCCGGCGCACCTGGTGACGGCGAGCGTGATGTCGGCGCCCGCCGCGCTCTGCCTCGCCAAGCTCGTGCTGCCCGAGACGCGCCGCTCGCTCACCACCGTTCACAACATACAGCCCGTGCAAACGTAAGTGCCCACTTCTCTAGCCTTTAAAAACAAAGGCAAGGATTTCTTCCCTTCTTTCTGCATGCATATTTGTCCAGCACGAAATAAACGTGCGACATTCTGACATTCGGTGGGAAACAAGTTACATTTATTTCCCAATAAACATTTTTGCTTATCAGGAAATAACGGATCTATATAAAAATAGCCGATGGAGAATCTAATTGTACCTACCATTCTTACCATCAGGTGGACATGTAATTTGTTTGTCAATTTTATAAAAAAGACAGAACTTTTTTTATAGGATAAGGGTGACAAACGAGCACACAATCCACCTGATGGTAAGTGATTACTGTGGCCCATAGACATCTGCATCTATCCTCGATTACAAATCAAAATGCAGATGCGTTGTCTCCCGTGAGGACCAAGATGGAATGCCTCGTTTCCAGTAAAAAGAGTCTCTGGTTTTTTACAATCACCATACGAACCACAGCAGCGTTAAGCTGCTATTTCACGCTGGTATTCTGTTAAAGCGTGGTCCTTACCTGGTCAAGCTGACCCATACGTGCTACAACTATACCAGTAATATACCTGTAGCATGGCTCTACCACGTATGAAACTCCATCATCATGACAGCGTTCAATGTCACAAATTAAAAATCACCGAAACTAAACAGAAAATGCATTGTTACCAGCGAAGACCAATCGACCTTGTCAGCAGCAACGCGAGGAGCGACAAACGGAATCAGTTTAGTCCTGAACATTATAGCTAATCTGGTGGCCTTCGTGGCCTTCGTCGCCTTCATAAACGGCGTGTTGGGTTACTGCGGCGGCTTGCTCGGGAACCCGGATATCAACCTGGAGTGGATCTTCGGAAAGATCTTCATACCGCTTTGCTGGTTAATGGGTAAATGAATTGTTCTCCTTCTCTTTCATGAACCTATAGGATTCCTGGACGTGGACCTCCTCACATTATAAGTAGGAGTTTGCGAATAATAGGCACACTTGCCAGCCGAATTGACTAGGTACCAGATGTTTTTCATCTTTGACGATGCTTCTGCTCACGGGTCTGGGTATTTTCATTTGACAAATACGCGTAATGGTTATACCTCTCTTTATGAAAGTCATCTCTTACAGTACCACATACAAAAGAAGGTGGTAACTGTCAAGCCGCTAACAACACCAGCTGATAACGGTGTGGCTTAAGTTTTTTTTTTATATATAGGAGGGGGTAAACGAGCATACAGTTCACTTGATGGTAAGTAACTACCGCCGCCAATGAACAACTGCAAAACCAGGGGAATGGCAGGTAAATGGCCTGCCTTTTAAAACAGTGTAAGCTCTGTTCTTGAAGGTCCCTAAGTTGTCCGAAATTATCGCTGGTGGTAGCCGATTCCACAAAGAAGAAGAAAACTTCTGGTTATTTGCACAGTGGTGGACCACCATCATCCAGATGGTATGAATGGTATCCTCTAATATTTGTGCAATTATGGAATATATTTTATTATTTTTAGTTTTTAAAGTCGTTATTTTTTTTTAAGTTCTTTTGTATTTCCTTTATTCAAACCACACAAATCTTCAGTATAGTAGTAACTCCGAGCTATTTCTATAAATACAAACGGATCATTCTAACTATACAGTTGTTTTGACCAGGGGTCCCGTGGGAAGAATGTGAGCATGTTGGAACTTTGGTGGGACTAAAGACTGTGGTGAACGAATTTGTCGCCTACCAACGCATGGGGGAAATGAAGAATGCCGGTCTACTTTCGGTAAGGAAACGAAATATTCTTATTATGAATTTTTACGTCGTTCTCTTTTTCTTATAAGGCGTATTTTGATAACATTACTCTAAAAAACATGGTCACAATTCACCAATTTTATCTGTGACTAATTTCTTTACAAAAATTGAAGTGACAAACAACTCTACCGCTCGCTTGATGGTGCCTTATCAGCAGTACAATGATAACATAGCTCCAGTGGCGTAGCTAGGCGTGGGAGAAGTGGGCCCTCGATCACGGCCTCGCACTTAAATGGGGTCTTGCGAGGCCCCTCAAAATGTGATACCCCCAGACTTAACCACAGATGACTAATAATTTGATCACTTTTGCGCTTGAAAAAAGACGCCACAAATTTAAAAGCGTGTTGGTTTGGTGCCTCGTAAGGAGCTCCTCTTAAGTACGACTGCGAGGCCGTTGTAACTACCTTCAAACACCGCGACCGTTAGACTGACGGAATACGAGACTTATCAGGAATTAATAGTTATGAGTAAGATAGATCTATTGGACAGATCTTGGAAACGAAAGAATAGGGGCCTCGCTGTTGTGTCCTCGCCCACGTCTATATTTGTACACTACCACACTGTGGTAGAATACACGATACCTAATGTAAATTTTACGAACACCTAATTTACTGTATTCACAAATAAATAAATGAATTTGAATTTGAATATATTAGTCCACGCTACGCCTCTGCATAGCCCTGCTGCTGGCATATTCTTGTGGTCTACCGTTATGTTATAGTGCTAGCTGGCGTATTCTTGTAAGGGTCTATATCCAGCTGAGGACTTTAAAAAAATTGCTGATATGATATGAGAATACATAACTAGGCTATAATATCTGTTAGGAAATTTCGTGATTCCAGTTACATTTAAAAAAACATCCTAGTAGGTAATAGTAGTTATCGTAAATATCACATAATATCATGATAATTCAACACAGTATCACATAATTTTATTCGAGTATAAGTTATTGTCATTTATTCATAATACAGTCCCGAGGTGAGCTGATCGCTACGTACGCGCTGTGCGGCTTCACCAACCCCGCGTCTGCGGGCATCATGATCGGTGCCATCTCAGCCATGGCGCCCAACCAAAGAGAGACTTTATCGAGCGTAAGTAGCATTCATAAAAAATCACAGGAATCAGTGAGTCCAAGACAATAGACATAATTATTTTAAATTAGCTTACGAGCAATTTGGGCTCAACAACTGACGCCGATGTTGAGCTATTTAATATATATTACTGGGCTTACAGCCTATAAAAGCCTAAAGCTGAACATAGTCCTCCCTCATTGGGTGCCCCATAAAGGGGACTTTTCCATAGTTGCCACGCTTGGCAGGCGTGTTGGCAACTACAGTTTTTAATAGTTTTGAGTTATCAGGTTAATGCTGTTTCAGTTTCCCTCTTTCGTCTTTTACGACACTCACGGAATAATATGTAGTAGAGGATTATCTTTAACAGTGATAATATGGTATACTCCATCGTACTCCATGCCCCATACCACCTGCCAAGCGTAAGAACTAGCAAATATCCTTCTTGTTAGGATATATAATGAATGGGAGTTCAGAGGATGCTTTCGGTACATTTTGAGACATTTCCAAGACCTTTGACTCTATCTTCCTTGAGGTATTAAACAGGATACTACATAATTGTGTTAAAACATTGCGCTTTTATTCCCTTATTATTTTATAACCGAGTAACGGAACGCAGAAAATGCTTCACAATAGCAAGTCTTTCCAGGTCGCCTCTTTTAATGGGCGTTCTTCAAGGCGCTATCCTCAGCCCATTCCTGATCCCAGTATATATTAATTGCTTACCTTATATACTACTTGCTAATGGTTACTTCAATGTTTTTCGTAATCATCGAGTATAATATGACGAAGTGAACAATGAAATAATAATTTTGATACATATATTTATATATTCAAACATAGGTTATATAATACGTTAGGTTAATATGGTCACTTTATTATAACTCAAAAACTACAGTGTTGTTGTTAGCATACATGGCTCTGTGATACGATAGTTCTTCATTAGTCAATCAAATAATAAAGAGTAAAAAGGGCACTGCTTTGTCGACGCCATTTTGGCAGTTGACAATAAAATAAATGTTTTAGTCGATTTTAGTATTGTGTATTGTAGTAAATTTTTATTTTAAGTTGATTTTTCTTCTGTGCTCCTAATTATTGGCAAAGCTTGTTTGCTATTTTTTTCTTAATATATTAGTTATATTATACGACTATGAGTTTTGCCTCTATCCTCCTCCTAGATTTGGTTTTATAAAGCGGCAAAGCTTAAGGTGACTATATTACCCCCACGTACCTTATATATTATATTAATTAGGTTCACTGGCAATTAAACTACCATTATTCATAATATTTTATTTTATTTCTCTTATGAACCACGTAAACTAGTCCATTGCTGATTACCTGAAACAATTTAATCTAAAGGGTTTTCTCCATTTATACTTTGATTCAAGCCTCTAGTGTTTTATTATTGTAAGAAAAATGTTTCATTTTTTTAATCACGCAGGTCGCTATCAGAGCATTCTTCACTGGATGCGGCATTTGCTTCATGACGGCCTGCATAGCAGGTAATGTATAATTTTGGTTTAAATTAAATTTGAATCTTTATACATATAACTAGCTGTTCCCCGCGACTTCGTCCGCGTGAAATTTATTACGATGGGATTTAATATTTTATTAAGATAACGAAAATGTAAGTAGCCTAAGTTACTCTTTATAACATCAGCTATCTGCCAGTCCAGTCCATCAAAATTGGTCTAGGCATTTCGGAGATTAGCCGGAACAAACAGACGGACAGACGGACAAAAATTTTAAAAATGTTTTTTTTTTTGTTATAATTACAAGCCTATTCAGTATATGTATTATCTCAGCATTATCCGGAGATTAAGAGGATTGTGAAAGACCCCCTTTCACCGATGCTAGTGTCAGTTAGCGGTAATAAAACCATATACAATTTGCAAATAAAGTTTCTTTTAATTAAAATTAAATTTTTTAATATTCAAGTTTTTTGGAAAAAAGTTATTTCTTTAAGTTTGCATACTGACTCTGATAACGCACTTAAAGGGAACCACAGGGTTTTTGTTACACGTTGTATATGTACTTTCTTCATATGCATTCAGAAAAAAGCTTTTAGATTGACATTACAATTTTATTTATTAAATTGAACAAACAGATAGACAGACAGACACTCAGATAGACAAAAATTAAAAAAAAATCGTTTATTTGTTACACGTAAACCATATACTAGTATACTTTTATATGCATTTAGTAAAAAGCCATGATTTTGGCATTACAAACAGACACTTCAATTTTATTTATTTGTGCAGACGTATAGATTATTCTGTACGTATGTTTGTCACCTCCTAAACAGCTGGTCCGATTTTGATGACATTTTTTGTCTATTTGAGTCCTAGTTTTTTAGTAGTCCTTAGTTCCCTAATGGCGGTTTCAAGGTCTCCTAATATTGTAGGGACTAGATTACGGGCTCTAACCTTTTGTGTTAGGGTGTCCCACATGTGCTCTATAGAATTGAGATCAGGGCTTCTTGGTGCCCACGACATAAACTAAATGCCGATCTCTTCAATATAATCAGTGGTGATACGCGCGATACATGTGGTCGTGCATTATCATGAATTAATTCAAAGTTCTTTAGCCAGCATATGGCACCACACGGTCTTCTAAGATCTCGGTGGTGTGGCGTGCTTCACTTAAAGCACCTCTTCGTATCAAAAGCAGCTCCGTACGGCCAGTTAAAGATATCCCAGCCCAAAACATTACAGAGCCCCAACCTGATAGTTTCTCTTATGCAACACTGGGTATAACGTTCACCTGGCCGTGACATTACGGCGTCCATCATATAAAGTTATTCGACTCTCATCACTAAAAAAGTGCAAGATAATGTTGTGACCAGGATTAAGAAAGGAATGCTTCGGTGGTTTGGTCATGTAGAAAGAATGAACGAGGAAAGAGTGACAAAGCAAATTTATGTTGCAGAGGTGAACGACAGAGTCGGGAAGGGACACCCTAGAGGAAGGTTTATCGACCAAATCGGCGATATATTGAAAATGGGCCAGATTAGGAGTACCCTGAACCTACGAGCGTGTATGCGTAGATATACGGATGTAAAGGAGGCGAGAGAGGTGTGTCAGGGTCGCGCCAAATGGAAGTCCGTAGTCTCTGCCTACCCCTCTGGGTGACAGGCGTGAGTGTTTGTGTGTTTGTGTATCACTAAAAATAACTGACTCCCGTTGGCCTATAGTCCAGTTGATATGATTACGCGCAAATTGAAGTCTGGCTTGTCGATGATCTGTGTTCAATTGTGTTACTCTGAGCTCTTGAATTCTACTCACGAAGTCTCCTTCTTACAGTACTGTCACTTATAGCCACACTCGGATCTTCACGTAAGCGTCGCTGAAGATCAACACCAGATAGGTGTCGATTTCCCAGAGCTGATACCAATATAAACCCGTCATCCCTTTGAGTTGTCACCCTATGTCTTCCAGATTCAAATCTTCTTCTATATTGTCCAGTCTCCAGAAACCTTTGGTAAACTCGCCTCACTGCAGAACGGCTCGGGTTTAACCTTAGCACCTTTGTTGCAGCAAAGCCACAACTTAAGCCACTTCAGCTTCAGCTTTCAATGTAGGCCGTCATTCTAGCAAGAGGAGGGAATACGCAATATTAAATTGCAATAATTGTGTACATAACATTTAAGACATAAAAAATAGATCATATTTAAAAATAAACAAAAAATCATTGATTTTTATATCAAAATGACTCGCATAAATCTTTTATCATCTTCACTGAAGATTTCGTATATTTGTTTGTTTCAGGTCTACTTATGCCAGAGGATTCTTTCGGTTAAACTATTAGATATAAAAACTACATAAAATAAGTTTCAATGAATTATCTTGAAAATTGTAAATTGTTATTTAATTTGTAATTAATTAAAAAATATTTATGTTATGAACTGCGTTGTGTTGTTTTAGCTCTACAATGTTTTATGATAAACTAAGTAATAAAAAATATATATATTCTAAATTCCTCTCCTACCAAATAGAATGGTATATTGAACACCTCTACTGCACCTTTTGAAGCCTTATCGTGTCTGACTGATTTCACTGAGGAATCTCAAATCTATGTGTAAAAGTGAATGTTGGGATATCTCAATTATCCATCCATTAAAGTCCACGCCTGAACATAGTCTTCCCCATAGACCACTCACCTCATAGGGGGGATTTTGCCATACCTGCCACGCTTGGCAGACAGATTGGCAACCGCAGTTTTTTATAATTTTGAGTTGTTATTTGGAATACGCTGCTTGCCCATTTGTTTTGTTTCCCACTGTCGCCTGTGACGCCTTTTCCGACACTCACGGAACGATATCATGGGTTAGTGAATATTCATACGCCGCCACTATACTATCGATATCTGTTCAAGATAATTAAACATCGATAACGTTTGTACGTAACATAGGCGAAGTTCAAGGTTGACCCCCGATTAGATGGAGTGACGACCAGGTAAGACATGCAGGAAGTCGATGGATGCAGGTGGCTCAGGATCGTGCTTTGTGGCATTCCTTGGGGCGGCCTATGTTCAGCAGTGGACTTGTAAAGGGCTGTAATGATGATGATGATGATAATAACGTTTGTCCGTTAACTTTGACGCCGCACCGCACCGTGCGACACAGATTTTTAATAATATGTTGAACACCGCAACTGCAACCGCCGTGTGGCGTGTAAAGCCCCGTGTGGCGTGGCTGTGATGTCATTAATGCCAACGAGGGCTAATAAACTTACGCTCACCAGATGTCGCTAGTTGGGATTGAGGTGATTTTATATATCATAGAAATCGTCACACAGATCTTCATTGAAAAGTTTGCGTTTTAAATAAAAGTTTTTTTGGTTTCTAGTGTACACAAAACAATGCCTCAATGCTGTATTCTTTTAGGGATATTCGTAGTTGATTTATCCATTTTAATCTAATTAATATTATATGTAAGTTATAGTTCAGAAAGTAACTTTAATCTGTACACTGTCAATACGTGGTGGAGCCATGCTGCAGCTATATTATAGTTGTAGCACGAATGGGTCGGCGCGACTGGGAAAGGACCACGCTCTCACAGAATACCAGCGTAAAATAGCAGCTTAACACTGCTGTGTTTCGTATGGTGAGTGTAGAGAACTGGAGACCCTTTTTACTGGAAAAGAGGCATTTCATCTTAGTCCTCACGGGTGACAACGCATCTGCATTTTGATTCTTTATTGAGGATAGATGTAGATATCTATGGGTGACAGCAACCACTTACCATCATGTGGACAGTGTGCTCGTTTGTCACCTTTACTCTTTAAAAAATCAAACAAATTAACTTCACCCACCATGAAATCTGTAAAATATGACACCTTATTCCAAAGTGGCGCTGTCTTAGTGGCAAATCAGATTGTGGATGCCCTCATGAAATCATCAAGTTGTAAAAAGCAACTATGGCAAATGCCAGAAAGATAAAACATTGAGACCGCCGACGTGAAGCTGTGTTAAAGGTCCAGTAGGTACTGCGAAAGCCAATCCACTTGTTAAGCTACCGATGAATCCAAATCATTAAATGGGTTCATAGAAAAGTATGATTACTAAATTATTGTTTTCTAATCTAATTTATTGCTATAAGTAGCCATCCGATTCGCTTTCGCCTGGGTGGGATTTTTTAAATGTTGTGACATCAATTAGATTTTTGTAAATAATCATGAAGTAAAAAAATGATGAAAATGTGAAATCGAAAAATATTATGAATTTTTCGATTCCACAAATAAATGCTCCAAGTTTTTTACTCTCTACCTGTTCGTCAAGTTTCATCAAAATTGGTTCGGCCATTACGAAGATAAACCCGGCGGGACACTTGCAACACACGGCAGACAGATAAACAAACAAAAATTGTACAAATGGCTATTCATAATAATAATAATAATAATTTCTTTATTCGGGAAATAATTTGATTTAATGGCATGCAAATAACCTCCTGATTTCGATAAAAGGCAGTTATTTCGATATTACAGACGGTCACTTCAATTTTATTTATATGTATGAATGTATGGATTAACGATTCTTTATTCGTCACATTAAATCCTCTATAAATATTTTAAGAATATGAAATAAAAAAAACTCTGTTTGGAATTGTCAAAAATGTCACTACACCATGCACTCAATCGGGAAGTATTTCAACTTTTTAAAAACCTACGTAAAATCTTTTGGCAAAGTGCATTAGTTATGATACCTTATCATTTTCAAATTTACGCGAGTGTGTCGTTCTTTTTACTCTGCAAAATCCTTTGTTTCGCAACTAGCTATTATTCAATGTTGGAGAAGAGACGTCACACATTAATGAGTATTCCCGAAAAGAACGAAAGCGATGGAGATGCTGTATACAAATGGGTCCCTAAGAAGAAACACGAAGTCTTAAAGGCAAAGTATAAATGCTTGAAGAAGCTCTTTCAGATTTATGATGCTAGTGTTATAGGCATCCTTCCTGATCCTTACGCAGTGCCCGAAAGTATAGTGCGTGACGAAAGAAAGCATTCGAGGAGGAGGCGCTCGCGTAGGACAAAAACTGACGCATCTGCGGGAACCAACGAAGTTTCCAGTGGTGATGTCACTCCACCTTCCGTAAATGAGAAACGCTCTATAGCTACTGCGGTGATCCGGGACTTAAAGCTGCAGTATACGACCTCAGTCCCGGAAACGAACACCAAATCCGTTACCCGGCTACATGATAAATTTACTCAGGAGTCGAAAGAAAATCTTTCTATGACAACTAGCGAAAAGGAGTGTGAATGCACACAAACCGCAGATGTTCTGCAAATGCCTTGTTTGATGCTTAAAGAAAAACAACCAAAACCTACTCGTTTCCAAATGTTCCTTCAACGTATTCTTGGTATAAGACGCGAGACGCCAAATTACGTTCCAGTGGCCCAGTCACACATCTATGCGGCGAGCGACAATAACATTCAAACCCGGTACGAAAAGCGACGAAGACGTGGCCTCCGGTTCCGGAGGGTTCGGAGTAGGAAGAAAGTTCGCTCGGAGACAGCGCTCAGGGATGGGCAAAGTCCGATGATTCTAACGTACGTACAATCCGTACAGAGAAATTATTTGATGGATACCACGCCTCGACAATGTCCCTTTATCGGGTGCAGAATGATTTTTTATGGTGCGTGATTTTCATAATTTCAGTTTTCTTTTTCTACCGACTTCAAAAAGGAGCCGGTACTCAATTCGACTATATGTTTTTTTATGTGTGTTACCTCATAACTTTTTACTGGGTGAACCGATTTCGATGATTCTTTTTTTTATTTGAAAGCTGGTGTTTCACATGTGGTCCCATCTAAATTTGATTTAAACGACTTCAATATAAATTCAAATTTATATTGAAGTCGGTTGTACAAAATTTTTAATTTTTAATGATTATAATAACAAAATGACAAACGTGCTAACGGTCTACCTGGTAGTAAAAAGCTTCAACGCTCAGAGCATATTTTATATTCTTTAAACCAGAACACAAGAGTGGTGCTTAGTAGCAGAATAATTCAGTTATTTTGTTGGTTCAAGATTCTACAGAATATTTTTATTTTTACCAACTCAAAAAGAAAGAGATTAGACAACATGAATCCGTAACCTTTTTTTTACATTAATTTAACAGTCCGAGATCCCGCCGCATGGTTTCTACACCCATATCTATGTTTTAATGGAGATATATTTTTATGAACATGAATACATTAATACCAAGCTGCCTTGAATATTAGCGCAAGTATTTTGAGTTTAAAATTTAGTTAATCTTTTTCTTTCTGAACAATCTCGTTCACTTTTATTTTCTACCGACATCAAAAAGAAGACGGTACTCTATTCGACTGTATGTTTTTTTATGTGTGTTACCTCATAACTTTTTACTAGCTGAACCGATTTGGATAATAATTTTTTTATTTGAAAGCTGGTGCTTCACATGTGGTCCCATATAAATTTGAACAAGGTCTGACCAATAGTTTTTGAGTTGTTCTTAATAATTTACATTGAAGTCGCTGGTACAAAATTTTTAATTTTAAATTATAGACAAAAATATCAATAATATAAAAGAAAACAAAGGCTGCTACCGAGAATTTCTTATAATAAAAACACAGTAACAGATTTTGGCTCAAACCGAGTGCGAACCCGGGAACTCGTGATCAGCAGTTGCGCTTAAGACCACTATACCAACGGGACAGTCAAAAGATCAACAATAGTGTTAATGATGATTTCTATTTGTGATTAGTTTTTAAAACTTATGCATAAAAAATTTTGTTAACAGGAATTATTAACTACAACGACCATTTGAACCTATGCCACTTCACTGATCGCAAATTCATCTGCCACTATTGCCACGAAGGTTTTTTGAGCAAGGACGATAAATTGTTGCACGAAAATGAGCATATTGGCATTCCAAAACTTAAATCAGACTTGACATCGGCTCCGTCAACCGGTCGCCAATCATCCAAAGTGGCCAGCGTCACCCAAACTGACCCCGAACCTAAGCTTGATGTCAGTGAAGATAAACTAAAGAAGATTGTGTCTTTCTTCGATAAAATTGACGATCCCTTAGAAATAGTAGCTGAGATCAATAAGAGTCGACATTCTGCTTCCAACTTGAACGTAACTCGTCAGTCGTCTAAAACTGATACAACAAATTACGAGGTCAGAAAAGAAAAAGGAAACTCCAGCTACATGCACTTACAAACAGCTGACAGAAAGTCTCTTTCGTATGCTGATTTCGATGTGCAGTCCAATCATTCGCAGACATCGTCGTTCAAATGTGAAATGTGTGGAGAGAATTTTGATCGCAGG